AAAACCTTCCCATAGTTAGTTCGAAATTCTGGAAGTTCATTCATGGCATTGCTGGTAATATCATTACTGATATTAAGCTTTAGGTTTCCCCGGAAAATACATTGCTCTCCTTTTTTTGGGATCCGTGGCTTAATGGGAACAAGTTGGCTGATTTTTTTAATCCTCCTACCGGTTGCCCTGATGATATTAGCTCTTATACTAGTGGGAATGTGTGGTGCATTCCTAGCAGTTTTCCTATTTGGCTGAAGCAACTCATCTCTTCTATCCCACTTCAGGACCCTTCCTCTACTACTTTAGCTTGGAAGAAATTCGATAAGCCTACCTTCAAAACATTTAGGCTGTTGTATTTTGATAATGTTCAGGAGGTGGCCTGGGCTAAATTTGTTTGGCACAAGAGGGCGGCTCTTAGATATTCAGCCTATGCTTGGCTGTTGTTTAAAAACGGTTTGAAAACGGCGGATATTTTGGCCAAGAGGAACATTTTTATTACTTCTACTTGTCCCCTGTGCCGGAGGGGAATTGAAAGTTATGCCCACTTATTTTTTTCATGTGATTTCTCTTTCGGTGTTCTTTCTTCCCTGCTGCCTATACTGAATGGATTTCTCTTTAGACCCACTACTCTGCAGCTATTTGAATTTTTGGAGGAAATTGGCACTTTTAATGCTGTTGAAAAAAATTTCTGTTATCTTGTAATTTGCTGTGTCATCTACTTCCTTTGGAGAGAACGTAACGATCGCAGATTTTCTAGTTCTCAGAGGAATCTTTTTGAGGTGGGTAAGCAGATTGCTATGGCCATTAGCTCTAAAGTTTCACATTGGAAAGCCAAGGATGAATTGTTGAGTTCATTTCCTAATTGTTTTGATGGTATATGAGGATTGGGGCGTGGTTTTTTTTTTTTTTTTTTTTTTTTTTTTTTTTTTTGCTAGATGGACCAATTCTGGATGGGTAATTTTTGGAGGGGTATTTTTCACTGTTTCTGTTGGGTTACAAGGTTGCCTGGTTGGATGGGGCATTTTGATGTCCGGGTTGTCTGCTTATTCCAGAGAAGGTTTGCTGAATTTTGGTGGTCTACTTTTTTCTGTTATCTCATTATTTTTGAGAGGGATCTTTCCCTCTACAGCCGGACGATGATGTGCGGAGCTAACAGTGACGAGGTGCCTCTGATTATCCTCCTTTGGACGGCCAGAGTTGATCTCATTTCCGCCCCGCTGTACTGCTTATCAGATTGCTTTTTGGTGGCAACCAGGGCTCTGCTCCTTTGGATGGCCTGGCATGTCGTTCTTCTGTTTTGCCTTCAGTTCAGGTTTCGGTGCTTATTTTGATCTCTCTGGCAACCATGGAGGACTGATAGCTGCTGATCTATTCGATGATGGTTTGCTTTACCTGTTAGCTCCATTTTCCTGAGTCCGAGGTCTTTTTGGCCTTTGCTGGTTTAGTTCCTTTTTTTTAATTTTTTGCTTTGTTGTTAGTCTTCTTAGTCTTTCCTGCTTACGCGCTGTTCGTTTTTTTTGCCCAGTTTTTGCTGTTGGGTAGAAAAACTTCTGTTTCATTTTGGTTTTAATATAC